ATAACGGGAAATGAAAATTTACAACTAGACGTAATACTCTGCAGCCACCCAGATTTGATAACTCTCGTGAAAAAAGACAATAGACTCACATCCTTGTATAAAACGGTTCATAATCCTTACCACACAAAACTCAACCTAATTTTAAAAAACGATTACACCAGAGAAAAAGAAGTAAATGACCGCAATGGCTTCCAGGGATTCTCATTCTCGAAAGCAAACTGGTACGAAATAAATCAATACGTCAATGAAAACTCAATTTAGCCCATACTGCTACAGCAATGTTAATCTAATGACTGAACTGTGGTACACTTGGCTACTTAACATAATCGAAAAGCACATTCCCAGGAAAACAAAACATTGAAGTTCTCTGGCACATTGGGTAACATCTGAAACATCAAATCTCATCAAAATTATGGGTAAAATGCGCAGAAAATGTGAAAAAAACGTGACCGAATGTCAGTTAGTCAAACTGAAAACATTTGAAAAGCACCTCGAATTAAACTTAAGCGAAGACCAAAGAGCATACGAAGAAAACTTTTTTGCTGTTGGCAACATCTCAAAATTGCAAAAGAATTTTAAAAGTACTCGAAAAACAGATACAATCCCAGGTGAAGTCTACCTGGATGATCAAAGAGCTACATCAAATATCGATAAAGCCAATTTGCTTAAAAAACACCTTCATTCATATTTTAGCCACTCCCTCTATGTAAGCGTGAATAACCCATCTCATGAAAGTAAAATAGCAAATCTCCATTTTACCACAACGGATATCGAAAAAATCCTTGAAAACTTGGATATCAACAAAGCCAAAGGACTTGATAACCATGGAAACAACCTCTTGAGAAACTAAGCTGTTCTATCTCTAAATCTCTGTATCTACTTTTTAACACAATTGCTAATAAATGTGGTTTTCTTTCAACATGGAAAATAAAGGAAATTGTTCCTACCTTCAAAGTGGGAGACAAACAAATTGTCTCAAACTACCGACCAATAAGTCTGCTAACGGTCATCTCAAAAGTGTTAGAAAAAGTAAGTTTTGATAAAATGATTTCATCAGTAAAATTTAGCATCTCAAACTCACAACTCGGCTTCCGACAAAAACGATCTAGTGTTACAAACCTCATTGAGTATCTCCATGAGGTATATAATTACTATGATAATGTCGAAACAAACTACCTGGCTTGCTTCTACTTAGATTTCCAAAAGGCATTCGAAAAGGTGAATCACGCAATGATAATTAAAAAAATTAGGAGCTTTGGTGTCACAGGACAATGTTTAAATATACTAAAAAATTATCTAACAGATAGAAAAAAAAAACATTCGCATTGGACAAGCAGTATCCGAGCCATTACCAGTACACAGTGGTGTGCCTCAGGGGTCAATTCTTGGACTTTTGATGTTTATTCTCTATTTAAAGGACCTACCAGATTGTGCATGGTCAGCAAGTTTTGGCTACGCAGACGATTACAAAGTTTTTTGCAATGACCCATTAATTTTAAATATCGATGGGAAGAGAATTTGGAATTGGTATGTAAAGAAATCTATGGCAGTAAATGAGTCAAAAACTGAAATTTTCAGTGTAAAAAAAATGCAAAAGTTAAAGTAAATGGAACTGTTCTTGAAGAAACAGCAGAAGTGAAATATATAGGTCTTGTAATCACTAGCATATTAAGTTGGACTGAAAATACTACAAATAGATCTGTCAAAGCTCTGAAGGCATAATGCGCTGTGAAAAAAAATTATCTGCAAAATAACAACAAAGGCCATGAAATTAAAATCATACAAATCACATGTTGCACCTATTGTAAGTTATGGCTCATCATTATAGAAACCCTCAAAAAGAGATCTCAAAATAATTGAAAGTGTACAAAAGAAAGCAACAGCATGGATATTGAGTCCAACTCAAGAATACAAAGATCGATTGATTTCCCTACATGTCCTTCCTCTGTCACGTTATCATGAACTACACATTCCACTGCTACTGTACAAAATCGTAACTGGAAAAACTGACCTACAACGGAAAAAATTCATAAGTGTTAAGGAAAAAGGACCAACAAGATATGCGAGTATGAAAAAATACGAAAACAAACAAATTCGAATGCAAAAATCAGAATCTGACTTTTTCCTGAGAGTCTGCAAAATTACGAACGCCTTGGATGTACACCTCAGATTCGATATCATGGAGCACGATAAAATAAAAGAATTAATAACGAATGTTTTCTGGAGATATTTTAAAGAGAGATTCAACGAAAACTATCCATGCTCATGGAGAATTGACTGCCGCTGCATGAACTGTAAAAAAACTAGAAAACTAAACTTTTAAAATTTTTGATTTGACAAAAACTGAAAGGGAGCTAACTCCCTTGGATTTATTTTTCCTAAATTCTTGTTTATTTTTATTATGATTATCATGATTATTTTTACCAATTCGGAGTCGTTGTTGGTTCGACAGTTTTAATCTTAATTTTTTGCACGGGATGACGTTCAACCATTGGGAGCCAAATCTGTCCTGGAGCGCCTGAACTTTTTTACGTCCGTTGGTTCGAGGCATAAAATCAAGTCTGCAATTTCGCTGTCAAAAATTGGCCTTTTTTTCATTTTTTTTGGATTTCATTTTCCGGAATCATTTAAGTTTTTCCAAGTTCAAACCACCGTTTAAGCGCATCATCATAGGTTCCATCCACATGCTCCAAACCAAAGATTTTGCTTAATGCATTTTTCGCTCCTACTGCTGAGGCTAAGAAAGCGGGTAAAACTAGTAGACGCGCGGAAAAGACGCCCAAGCCACCTTTGGCTGCCGGGAGAATTGCTTGTAAAGACTGATTATCATCCATTTTCACATTAGTGAGCTTGCATAACTAATTTCTTAGTAATTTGTCGTAGCGTTCCAAAAAGTCATTTTGCAAAAAACAAGGGCTCGTACGCAAAAAATATAGGAGTTTTCAGGAAGTAAAAACCATAATGGGCGTCTAGTTTGTCAATCACATCCGAAATTTTTCAATTTCCTTTTTTGTCGTGCAATTTTTTTCATCAAAGTTTGCCGATTGGAGATTCTAAATTGAAGAGTTCTCCTTTTGTTTTTATTTTTATTATGGGGCATATTTTTTGACCTTGTGTTTAAATTGAATTATACTGTGTACTCGTAGTCGGTCCCAAAAACAAAGTTCTCGCTTCTCAGTGTTCAAGCTCAGGCCGTTAATTTGTTTAGATTTCAGAATGTTTTTGAGGTCCCGGAGTACAATTTTATAGTCGTCGGCTAAATTTCCATCATCTAAATACATGATGTTAATTTTCGACTCCAACTGTTTGACTGGTGTCTGAATTGTTTCCGCAAAAAGGGGTGGGGCTTCAGGATCACCTTGCTGAGTTCCGTCTTCTGACATTATGACAGAGCTTCCGTGAAAAAGGTAACTAGGTTCACTATTTGTGCTATGGTTGTAATTATACAATTCGGGGCGACTTGAAAAAACATGATTCAGCATTTTTTCTCTATTTAAAGAGCTAAAGGCTTTCTTAAAATCTAGTTTTAAAAGAACAGTGCATTTTGGATTGCCGCCGCGTTCAGTTAGGTTTCGAAACGAGTGTGCAGTTATTTCTGCTCATCGTTTGGTACCGCATCCTACCTATCCGTTTCCGAAAAATTGTTGTCGCTCGGATAGGGCCTTGCTTCCAGCGCATTTAGACGCGATACGTCTCAGCGTTTTGCCAATGGCAATCGGTCTCAACCCTCTGTCTATCTTTTTGAGGGCGATAAGCTTTGCGCCAAAAAAAAGATCTTAGGGGTTCGGGTATTTTGTCATCTCCAATGAGGTTTATCAGCTTAGTAAATGATTTCAGAAAAATTAGTCCTGCACTGCCAGTCAACTTACTAGCAAGATCTTAAAAGTTTGAGGAACTCTTTTATGAGGACCAGCAGTGGATCCGTTCGGAAAGGACATCATCGCTTTGTATAAGTCGAACTCGGTTACGAAAAAAACTATCTTAATTTTCTGGATTTGGAGCTGCAAATTTGGCTCGCTGAGGGTTCTTAGACAACAATTCTTGATAGTTATCAGTTGAAAAAGGAGCACTTTTGTCATCCGAAGCAGCAAGCTTTATCCCTCCCTTTATATTTCCTTCATCGAGCTAACTACTTATTAGTTTTGTTCTCTGCTCGAGGTCATTCAGAGGCGGGCTTGAAACTTGGGCATGGGAGTTTTGAAGTGACACGTCATTTGCTCGAAATTTTTTTATTCATCAATTAGCTCATGCTTGTGGTCTAATTGCGTCCACTTCTTTTCGGTTACTCCAAAAAACAAGAACGACGATAGAAAAATTAGCCAGTTTGTAACATCTACATTGTTGAAGATGTCATTTATTTTGTCCGACAGACTTTCCGCCAGGGGAACACGCGAGGCTTTTGGCACTCTCTTGAATACTCAGACATTTGAGATGGCTGTATCAACATAATTGTCTAATGCTAAATCATTAGCTATTTTTGTTTTATTAACAAATTTTACATCAACGCATGAAGAACACTGAAACCATTGGTTTTTTTAAAAGTCGCTCAGAGAAATATTCACACAACTGATATGATACCAACTAGAACACCAATCACATCCAATCCAATTTATTAGTCCTGAAGGTTTTAAGCAATCTTTGCTTACATTCTTTGTTGTTTTCCCTCATCTTGACGCAGCATAAAGGTTTAAAAAAAAGATTTTGACTGGAATTTTGGGTACTGAACTAACCCATGATAAGCGGTTAGTGGGAATTTTACAAATCAGCAAATAAAAAAACAATTAAAAGAAATTTATTTAATTTAAAATACAAAATCAAACTACAAAAATCAAAAACAAGGAACAATCTCCTCCGATATCAGTAGGTCCAGCGGTGCACCACCAGACTATTCAAGTAAGTTCCAGTTTTCCCCCTCCCCACAGAAAGCCACTTGACAGACCTGTCTCTGAATTCCTCAGAGGTGGCTCCACAAACAGGCACAAACATCAAACATAACAAGCCTATTTAATAAGTTTATCACAACAATTAGGCTAAAAGGAAATTGGTTTACCACAACTGGAAAATAAAAACAAATCAAAATAAGAATAAATCTTTAACAAATATTTAAGAACTACTCTTCATATCTATTTACGGAACAATACACAGTGACAATCTGTGGTAAGCTGTCAGGGAAATATTCCATTTTTGTAAGTGTTTTTCTAAAACAAATTGTGCTAATAAAACTGTGCTAATTTCAGTGGTAATAAAGTTCTTTTTTGTGAAGTGTACGTACACTGCTAAAACGAAACTTAATAAATATCTAATGACATCTAATACTGAAATGAAAAAAAAAACATTTCTGAATGTCAGATAAAATTTTAATTTATTTCGTTGGACCAGACTGTGCTACAATTGTTTAGGATCAGACCAACACGTGCTTTCTCGGAATAGAGCAAGGAATGAGTGTAAGTTGAATTGAGAACTCGAAAGATCTTTAACTGCTTCAATATTTATATTCAAAATTGGTCCCGCAGACATATGTGATAATTACAGGAATTTATTAATTCAAGAGTTTATCAAGGAAGGATTTCTAAGCCAACTGATTTTTCTGAATGTACAATTTTTTGTGATGTTCCCGGAATGCCCCGTTTTTATCCTTAATCCGAATTTTTATTGATTTTACCCAGATCACGGATTTTCGAACCTTTTGTCAGCTTTATCTGACACTATACAAAGTGAAGTTTTCTCCCGCCTGTCAATTCGTTTGCATATTTGTCAAACTTATTCAATGCGTTGAGAGTTCTCAGACATCATAATTTAGCAATGACTTTTGCCTAACTAATTCAAGTTATGTTCCTAACATTTTACTAACAAGGAAACTTCCGTTTCCTTACAATGTTCCCCTCCTTGAAATTAGAGCGCTCACCTCACGACGGAGCAATTATGGTGGTTACTTTTGCAATTCAGTTTGTTCCCATGGTATATATAGTTTGTTTCTCTGTTAGGTCGTTATAAGTGATTAAATTTAATGAGCACTTCAAAAACTTTGTCAAATTTCAATCTAAAAAACCATTTTATGGCGTAACACGTCTTTGGCGGCATCTAGGCCTCTTTTAATGTAGACTTCTCTCGCCTCTGGGTCGACGAGAAATTTCGGGCTTCAACCAGCACCTTGAAATATTCTTCTCTTTCGCCTTTGTCTGGTTGGCATAGAAGGCAGAGGCTTTTAAAATGCCGATCCACTGTCTCAGGCCGCGCTAGCTCCGGCAACAAAAAAACATCAAAGAGGCTCGGAAGGGCGGAAAAAGGACTCTGTTTGTCATGTAGACACAGTCTTTTCCAGAGTAAATATTTTGCGAAACTTTCTGCCGTCAGGTTAGCGCTAAGCTTCTTCCTCTTTCTCTGACTTTCAGAGATTTTCTTCTTATACTGGCTCTCCAGCGATTCCCTATATTTTATCTCTCGAAAGCTTTAACTTTTAAATTATAGCCTTCAACGGCTCCCTCTATTTGCAGGAATTTCTCGATCCCGTTGTTAACCTCAATTTAAAAGAGTCTCAGTTGCTCCCTGAGTTGCAGGCTTGTCACCCCCAGTTTTTCGCTCTTATCTAAGTACATCTCCGCTTCACTTATCTGACCCTTGACCTTGATCACCTCCTCGCATGAAATTGGCGCCCGACTCACAATACTTGGTGTTTGAAGTTGCTCGAATATTGACGCCTACTGTCCTGAACACATTAGGGCGCACCGCCGCCTTAACTTTAAACAGTTCCGGAAGAAAATAAACAAAATCCGCGACTTTTGATTCCTGTCAGTTTCCTAAAAAAACCATATAAAGATATACTTTTTGTTATTTCCACAGTCTATGCTGTGCTTTTATTTCTTTTATCCTAATCCCAGATGTAACACTGTGTTTTCATTTCTTATATTCTTAATACCACAAGAAGCTGTGTTTTAGTTTAATTGCACTCAAACATGTCTTAATTTTGTTTGTCCAAACATGCTATGCTTATTAGACTCACTTTCTGGCTTATAAAATCAATATCCTGCTGTCCCGTGCATTGCACGTCTGTTTACCTTACCAAACTTTGTTTTTTTCCTGTCTGTATCTATTTCTGGAGTTTCTCCTCAAGTGTCTATAACAACTGTACTCCCAATGGGTTTTACGGCTGGAATACCGTTTTTTTTATCAGCCCCATCCTTTATTAAAGGTGCCGAGAAAAATATAAGCAAAATAAATCCTAAAATTTTACATAGAAGATAAACTGCTAGCGTAGAGATTGCGACTTCTCTAGCTATTCTCCTATAACGGGGCATCGGTGTTTCCATTTCTACAAACCATGGAAAATATAACAGTTGTATGGTGGAACTTTTAGGCCAAAATGGTCCAATTGATCATGAGCATATTCTCCGATTTGTCCCACGAAGACCCCCCTTCAGGTTATTGCTTTCCGAGTATGTTTCATAAGTTGTGACAACTGACTGTCTCTCAAATCTTTTTCCGTGTAAAGACCTCCACCGCTAATATCAAAGGAGCTCAAAGCATTTTGTTCGCCGGTTCCTCTAATTTTTTTAATGTACGGATCAACTTCGATTTTTTTTGCATATGATACCCAGGACCCATTACCTAACTCAAAAGCATTGAGAGAGAAATTTTTGCACAGCGTGAGAGTATTATTGCAATCAATTACTCCGCTGATTCGGTCCATTAATCTTATGTGCGACTCGATGCCAACTTCCACCGGTAGTTCTTCTGTGCAGAAGGATAGGTTGGCGAATTTGACTTGTATTTTTGCAAATCGATGTATGCGCAAAAAGTCCCCCACCTTTTCAGAGTGGTAACACGGAGATGAATTTTTTCTGTCTTGAAATTTTCCCCGCATCCGGTTTCTCTTGCTCAATGCCAAATAGTGTCATCTATGTCACATTCCTGCTTTTCCAGAACACGCGGTATGATTCCGTTTGTTAAAAATTTTCAGGTAAAAAACGTATCTAGTTCACTTTGTATTACTTCTTTAGTGGGTAATCTCCCAAAATTTGCTGACATATCAAACGTTGTTTCCTCAGATGTAAGAAGTACAGAAAGGTGGTTTGTTTTGTTCACAAGTAGTGCCTGGATTATGATTTGATCCATTAAAACTTCAGCAGCACAGGACCTTTTTTTCGGAACTTTCAATTTGCCCTGATAGGTAATTACTATTCTTTGTTGGCAAGAGCAAAGCGCTAGTTGAGTTCAAAAATTTTGCTAACGAATATAATGGTCTTCCGGTTGTTTTCACATTGTTTATGTATGTTACTGAATCAAATTCGAAACTCCTGTTCCCCCTTTTCTCACTCGTGCCATCCCCGTTGGGTCCACAAAAACCACCGCACTACCAGTACTTGCCATTTTTACTTGAGCCTTCAGGGTCCCAATGGTTAATTACCCATTGATTAGAAATGAGCCCATAATTTTTTTTATTAGTAGGCAAAATCCGCTCCCCTGGATATACATATTTGTCTCCTCTCTTGTTCCCTTTCCTCGTGAAAGTTTTTGATAATCTTACTCTGCAACTATTTGTAGTCTCTGATGCTATGATGCTATCCACTTTCTACTGAGATATATTAATATCCTTGTTTCCAAAGCCTGGTAATTAAACCTTTTATGTATCCCATAATTTGTCACACTCTAATTCACTCAGTGGATAGAAAGTAGGAATTAGCTTGGAATATTCATGCAGGTAGGTTTTGCATCATCCCACCAGCTGCTTTTCTTAGGTGCCGTCACTGAAAACGACGCCAAATACATGCACTTCTTTAGCCTTACTTCTGATGCCACTGGTTCAAACATTAGTTACCCGCTTGTAAGCGTTTCTGGTTTCCCTTTTGTTTGAGTGCAAATGCTATTTTTGCTCAAGGATATTCTTTCCGTCTTAAAAAGGTTTTCAAAATCATATGCAATTAAAGTTTCGCCAGTTAGTTTTCCTGAGCATTAAAAAATGATTATTACCTCACCAAACAACGCTTCCTTGTTTTCCATGATAAGGATACGTGTTTTATTTTCACGGGTAAATTATCCGAACAAAGACATTACTATTATCATCATTATCATCGCGATGGTCTTTATAAAACAATTAGTCCCCAAATTGTTTACGCGCTGACCGTTCGCGCTTTTTTCTAGTATTGTATCATTCATTATCTCCTGTTCCACTCAGTGATTCATTATTAACATCATTTACAGTACTAACTGCTCTAGATTCTGATCCTTTTTTTGCTTTTCCTCTTAATGGCATTTTGGAGAATATTCTATTTCCCACGCTTCTCTTTGATTCGTTGGTGGGTCTACTAGATTGACTCTCTGTAAATGCTGATGTGGCGATCGGTTCTTTGATGTCCAATACTTCCGTTAGAGTACTGAACTGATCGGAATTTATCCTTTCTGATGCAACTGCTTCTCTGGCTGGGGTAGCCCGACTAGGAGATTCTACTTTTGAGTTGGCGTTAGGAACTCCACAACTTCAAGCGCGTTTTTCTGTTCCTCTGTTTCTTTTGTTGCATTGTTTTTGGCGCGACTATTTTTTTCTCCCGCTTCCTGAGCACTTATTTTTGTTCGTCCTTGAAAATTTTTTTTTAACTAATCAAAATGAACTTTTTACTGTTTCTTAGATTTTTAATCTTCAATCGCAAAATTTAGATAATTTACAATCTCTTTGATTATGTGTGGACCGTTATAAAACGACCTTAATTTTTTTGTTTGTCCCTTACCAGGGGCTTGGTTTAAAAGTAGTACATTAGTTTATACTTCGGTCCGTATTGTTTTCTGTCGTAGTAGGTCTTTTGCCGTTCTTTTTCGACGTTCATTGTATCACGCACCAATTCGTGGCTTGTTTCGAATTCTTTTTTTAGGTTTCTGACGTAGTCCCTTGGCGTTGCAAAGACTTTACTTTGTGATGTTTTGTAGATGCAACCTATTGGCAAGCAGCAAGGGCGACCAAAAATTAAATAATACGTACTGTTTTTTGTCACAGCATGAATTGAAGATCTATAAGCCATCAGAACTGTTTGAAGCTA